GCCTCGCCTGGCCTGGGCCCCCGCCGCTGCTGGAACGCAAAGCGCTCGGTGTGACGCCCTCGCCGCGCTCACGCTGGCAGAGGTGGGAGGCCTGGGCGCCCGGCACTCTCCCTCGCTGCCCAGAACTGCCAGGCTTTTGTTTCCTGTTTCTTTGAAACAGCTGCAGCTCCGCTGGCTGGGCTGGAGGAGGGGGGATGGGAAGGCTGAGCTTTACAGGATGGAGCCAGAGAAAACCTGCAGCAAACCGGAACTGAGAGCCAGCCCGAGACGTGCCTGCTATGCTGCTGGGATGTAAGCGTGTTTAAGTGACAAGAACCCCAGGGTACAGCCAAAGCCCTCCCTGTGTTGGCCCAAACATAAGAACAGCCAGACTGGGTCAGACCAAAGGTCCACCTAGACCAGTATCCTGTCTGCCAACAGAGGCCAATGCCAGGTGCCCAGAGAGCATGAACAGAACAGGGACTCACCGAGTGATCCCTCCTGTGTCACCCATTTCCAGCCCCTAACAAACCACTAGAGACACCATTCCTACCCATCCTGGCTAATAAGCATCAAGAGACATATCTTCCTTGAATCTATCTACTCTTTTTGAACCCTTTAAAAGTCCCGGTCTTCACAACATCCTCTGGCAAGGAGTTCCGCAGGTTGACTGGTGCGCGGTGTGTAGAAAATTTCCTTTGGTTTGTTTTAAACCTGCTGCTTATTCCCATAACACAAGAACTAGGGGCCACCAAATGAAGTTAATGAGTAAATCACTTTTCCTTATTCACTTTCTCCACACCTGTCACGATTTTATAGACCTGCAGTTATTCTAGGCAAGAAACCCGTCTCCAAGCGCTGCAGCCTCAAACCGGGGCTGAATGGGCCCTCAGGACCTTGGTCGCTGTCATTCACCTTGCCTGGGTCCAGTGGTGGAAGCTGGAGACTGCCAGGCCCAAGCATGTTGAGGGCCCTGCACTAGTGCTTACCCCATGGCTCCCATGGGGCAGCTGCAGCTTGTTTGAAACCTGGATACCATGTCTCCTAGGCCCAGGTGCTTGTCCGGCCCAGCAGCAGCCAGGATGCTGCCTCAGAGGGAGGGGCAGGGCGCCTGGTTCTCCGTCTCAGTCCGGGCACAGCTGGGGCTGCCTCCTCCCTTTGGCTCTTGCCCCCCCGTTTTGTGCCAGCGTCTCTGTGTGCAGCCCGGGCGGGAGTTTGGCAAGCTGGGCTGCTGGCAGCCAGCCATGGTGGGAGCAGGAACAGCTGTTCGGCTGTGACCTTTACAGCAGCACCCAATGTCCCGGAGCGAAGGCAGCCCTTTCATGCCCTGGTCACATTGTCTTTCAGTCCTCTTTTCCAGGTCATTGGCCAAGTGTCAGCTGCTTGGGAAATGTGTGAAGAATAGGGGGGGGG